AGTGCATGTATCAACCTGGGAATCGAGTTCCAATTCTAGCTTGAAAAGAAACATTCCCAACGAGCACCTTCACATAGTGAGCTCCAGCATTTAAAAACAGCGCACTGTCTTTGTCCATATCTTTTCTAAAGAGCACTTGACGGAAAAAGCTTAAAACTCTGGGAACGTCCAAGTTGGCCTCAGCGCATGTTTCTGTCTGTGGAAAAAAAAAATTAAGCCTTGAAAAATCCAGTGCTGAATTGGAAATATTCAGTGAAGTGCGTTTTGCTTCTGTTAAAGGATAAACATGAGATTAACGAAACTGTGCAGAGAACACTAGCAATTTTTCAACCCACGCAATAATGATTTTTGTTAGTGAGGTGTGTGAAAACTTTCTGTCCCGGGCTCTAAGAAAGATAACGAAGGATGAACACGATAACCTATTCAGTGACAAAAGATGCTTCTATATTGTTGATCGATGCTCGTATGTCTGTCCGCAGACAAAGCTTCTGGATATACTTTCGCGCCAAAATTACTGAGAGGTTCTTGTTGATTCACATCATAATTGCTGTTGTGTGAAAAAGTTCGAAGCACCTTTAAAAGTTCCTTTTCTTCAAGAACTTACCAATTCGTAAAGTGTTTTTGGGTATATCCAGTTATACGTGTTATTGCATTTCTCAAATACTTCGAAGCATAAGCTTCGCGGCGTAGGAAACGTGAGTGATTCGTAGAAGTAATGACTCAGCGAATCACCGTATACCCAAAATACGCCTTTACCAACTGCGTGATCGTGTTGACGTTTATATTTGTTTTGTAAAGATGGGAAATCTGTGGACAAAGACGAACATATTGTGTTTATCAGGATTCATCTCTGGCTTAAAGTGATACAATGGTGAGATCTTTGTGTTGTTTTTGTAAATTTTCGAAAATTCATTGGTAATGGTAACAGGACTGAGCAGGGTACAATTCAGGAATAATCGGGCGAGCGATTTTAAACTGGCAGAGCGCATAGCGCGAAGCTGATTTGAAATCACGAGCACGATTACCCCTGAATTATAAGACAAGAAGTTTGATAACCAGGGAACTGTATCAATATCAACAGGAGAGAAACTAAGGAGTAAAAAAGGCAAGAACACACATGCTTATTTTTCATAAATGTTTGTGTTCAAGAATCACCTTCCAATCTGCTCAATGAAGAAGTTTTCTTAATTTTAATCGGTTAGCATTGGTTTGGAAATTGAGTATATTGGCTGGTGGCTGATGGCTAAGAGTGCTTGGTTTTTATGGGCTGCTTAACCGTCTGATTTGGCCTGTTTGATAACTTGTGATCAGATCGATAAAAAGGGACAGTTTTGATTTGAAACAGCCAATGGAGCCACAAATAAGGGCTGTTAAGAACCACTCGTTTTCAAGAATAAACCACACTTTCTTTATGTTTACCGGGTAATAACCGCGCGGGATATTGAGAGATTACGAGAAAAGCTTGTAAACTACGAGGAACAGCCGTTCCGCCATTTTGTTTACTCTCGGTAAACTATTTTGTCTATTTTCCTTCATCCAGCTTTTTTTCATATTGCCTCAACTAAGATTAGAGTTTTCATGGAGTCCTCGTTAAAATTAACAGAATAATTTGGATATAT